TCTAATCAAAATACCAACAACATTCTGCACAAAATTAGAAAAAATAATTCTAAAATGTATGTTAAATGAGAAGAAACCCAGAATAGCCAGAGCATTCTTTACTGAGGCTCTGACCTAGGACCACTGATCTCCTCCCCAGAGATACAACAAAGGCATAAAACACAGACAGGAGATTAGATATATATATATTAGGTCCAGGGGGAACCAAGATGGTAAAAGCCCAATGAAGGACTAGGACCATGAGGCACGGTGTCCCTGGCCTTTATTGGGTGCTTGATTAGGGGTAGGGTGCTGGTGGGCTACAGGAAGTGACAGGGATGAACAGGTGGTGCAGGCAAGGCTCAAGTATTTGACAAACAAAGCATTTTTAGGAAAGCACACGGGAACAGATCACGATTAACTAGAAACCTGACTATCTGCTAACTGTGACTACTGAGCTAGAAGGAATTTGGGTGAGTGAAAGTATTCAGCTGCTTATCTTGCTCTGAGGCACAAGGACTTCACAGACCTTTTACTAGTTTTGGCATTAGCCTTTGGCCTGGGGATTAATTTCATTCCCACACTAGCAGTGGGTTTTGCCACAAGGCACTTAAGCCAAGGGTAGACTCTCAATTTATTTTATACCAATTCATTAATATCAATTATGCCACCTCTATACTCTGTCAAGCTGGTCCTCAGCAATTTGAGCAACAAGAGCAAAAGAGGAGACATTACAATCCCAAACTTCGCAGCAACAGTGACAAAGACAGCATTAACACTGACAAAAAACAGACATGCAGACCAAAGACATAGAGAGGTAGCCCCATGCAGATTTACACATCTGATCTTTTACAGAGCAGCTAAAAATATGTGCTGGATGTATGACAGACTCTAACAAACAGTGCTAAGAAAACTGGTTGTCCATGTGCAGAAGAATGAAATTAGAGCCATATCTCTCACCTTGTACTAAAGTTAAATCAAAATAGACCAAAGACCTGGATATAAATACAGAATCATTGTATTTACTGGAAGATAAAACAGGCAAAACTCTTTGAAAGATAGGAAAGTCCTTCCAGAACAAAAGCCCAATTGTACAAAAAGTAATACCAAGAGTAAGAAAATGTTCAAGTAGGAAGAGAACTAGGGAGGGAGGAGGAGGGAAAGGTGTGAAGGGAAAAGAAAACTAATGGGAATAGAAGGAAAAAAATGAAAACAAAGCTTTTGTAAATAAGGAAGGAAAGAGGGGTGGAAGGGGAGAATGGGAAAAAAAGAAGCAAGATGTACAAATCATGCACAGGTTCAAATTCCCTATGATGAATATTATCATTATGTATACCTAAAATATACCAATAAACAATTAATTTTAGAAAAGAATAAGTGAGTGTGATCTTATCAAATGAAAAGGCTTCTGCATAACAAAGATTATAATCTACACAATGGAGAGTCAAACTACAGAATGGGAAAAAATGTTGACAGTTGTTCCTCAGGCAGAGGACTAATATCTAGAATATAAAAGAATTTTAAAAATCAAACCCTTAAAGCAAAAAGCCCAATTAAAAATGAGTGATTGAAATAAACTGGCACTTCTCAAAAATAAATCCAAATGGCCGATAAGTGCAACTAGACAGGCTCATCATCTTTAGCCACTGGAGAAATGCAAATCAAAACAACACTCAGGTTCTATTTCTATTCAGTAACAATGACTGTTATCAAGGACTCAATAAACAATAAATGCCAGCGAGGTTGTGGGGAGATAAGAATATGTCTTCATTGTTGGTGGGAAGGTAAACTAGTACAACCATCATGGAAAGCAGTAAGGGGATTCCTCAAAAAAGAAAAAAGTAGAAATAGTAACTCCATCTGACCCAGCTGCACTTCTTAGTATCTTCCTGAAAGGGTTAAAGTCCTTATATTACAGTAAAACATTCATATCCATGTTTATAGCAGTACAACTGACAAAAGCTAAGTTATAGAAGCAAACACTATGCCCATCAACAGCAGAATGGGTAAAGAAAATGGGATATCTTCACACAATGGAGTACTACTTAGACACAGAGGATAAATTTCATTTATTTGTGGTGATAGAGATGGCTTCTGAGATCAAAATGTTACATACAATAAATCAGACACAGGACATTAAGTACTGCCTGATTCATTTGAGAAAATAATAAATGTAAATAATTTAAAGAATAATAAAGGAGAAATGGTAGGAACCAGGGTGGTAGACTTTATAGAGAAGGGAAGGAGATTTAGGAAAGCGGAGAGGAAAGGTTCATGGGAGAAAGGAGATTACAATAATCATTTCCAAAATGTATGTAATAGCTATGTATTACAAACATGTACTAACAAAGAATGAATATAAAAAAATAGAGAATGCAAAAAATAGAAAAAAGTTTCCTTCAGCATTTAAGTCTTGGTTCCTAAATGAATGAATTTTTGCAACTTTCATCTTCTCTCTGAACCTCACAGTCCTCTTGAGCAAATTAACTGCAATACTGTATTTCTTCCAAGGTTCTGCAATGATTGTGTATTATTATTCAGTGAATAGGTGAAATAATACTTCACCTTCAATGGCAGCTCTATTATTACAGTAAAAGTTTCCATTTTAAATGTGCATTCCTGGAATTTATAAGTTGATTAATGTTACAAAGTGTTCACTTTGAGCATGATACTAAATGTTTTTGTTTCACTTGTACATCTAGAGTGTTTTGATAACAAAAGCACTTTATTGAATGCCTGGTTAAGAGATATAATCAAACACAGTGATTAGAATAGTATTTAGTTCATAGAAATTGATATATAATCACAATATTGTCAATTTATTATTGACAAATGGCTTATTCCACCTATGTGCTTTGCAGTCTGAAATTGGCTTTCAAAATCAGTTGAAAATTGTTACGTGAGTGGAGCAGGACAGATTGCTCATTTTTAATCCCTCTCACCTGAAGGAACTCTTGGGTTCCTTCATTAAGAACTCACCTACATGCCTGGTAGTATTGGGTACCTGCCTCATCACTATCATCATCTACTATAGTGTTGATGTAATTCAAACTAATGATTGGCATTCTACTTCAGATGCTTTATCCTCTGGGTGGTAACTGATCCTCACATTTTTATGCTGACACAATGTATTGTTGACCAGATCAAAGCAGGTAATAGATATCATTTACTTATAGAATAAAAATCTAGTGTAGTTAGGCAAAGTTATCTCATCTCTACTCTCCCTGGATACATGGATAAAGATCCTATGTGTTCTTCTTTCTGGAAATTTTTTACTAATATACTGAACAGACCATTTTAGAATGTGCAAAGTAAATATGTACCTCATCAATGCTACCACTATGTTGGGCTTTGAGTCTTTTGAAGGAAAATGGTCTATTTTCCTTTTACAATGTTCCTACTTCCCAGTGCACTGAAGAAATTATTTACTGTTTTAGAAGGAAAAGAAGCGCCGGGGATATAGCTCAGTGGCACAGTGCCTGCCTTGCAAGTGTGAGGTCATGAGTTCGATTCCCAGTACCACACACACAAAAAAAAAAAAAAAATCATGCAATTCTAGAAGGAAAAGAAGAAGATAATTGGTATCCATATAACATATGGCTATTCTTATCTCAATTTAGCTCCAACCCCTCAAACATCTATCCACTTACAGATTAAATTTGTTCATGTTTTATGGACACCATTTAATTGTTTCCAGATTTTTACATAGCACTTGTAAGATAAATAATGATGTAATAATGGGTGAGCTTTGAAAACTTCTTCAAATAATAAACATTTAAATAGAGTGAAAATTTCTCATGTATATCTAAAAAATATGTTTAAGTCTCCCTATTTAAATTCAGTATAATCATCACATGAAGAGAAATTAATAAAACCACAGTGCAAATCACTTGTTTATCTCCACAAATATATAACATTTCTTGGTTTCACCCAACATGTTTTTAAAATATTTGATAGTGGGGATCATAATGTAGGATCCCATCTATTCACTATGAAATGATTACAGTTTAATATTACATTTTTTGCTTCCACACAAACATACAGAAAAATCTTAACACCAAGCAACTTTTTTTCGATGCACCTCTACACTTCTGCCCTTTGGCTATTTGCTCTGCCTAAGTACAACTCTGACATTTTTCCACAGTATCCTTTTTCCATATGCATCTAACTGGGGTATATATTTATGCTTCATTATATCAGTCAATGACAGTCTTTTAATTTATCACTCAGAAAACTCCATTCAATGAGGATATCTTGGGCAAAATGTTGAAAATTTCCAAATATCATAATTCCCTACTTATTTTTGTCAACTTCAGTAAAGACAAGGTAAAAATATATTTTGTTAAAGGCTTAACAAGGTGATATTACATGCATGCAAAAGAGAAAGGCAATACATTGTAGAGAAAAGGAGTCTTCTTTACAGAGCAAAAATTAGAGGTCCCTGAGTACATCTGCCTTATTTTGTCACAGGCTGACTGCAGCTATTGTGATAATGTGGTCACATTCTGTAGTTGAAATGGAACCGTAATGACTTTCTTTGATTCCATGTCACAGAAGTAGCACAGCTGAGAGTATAAAAGTGCCACATACAGAGGAAAGGGGAAATGGCCATTTGTTAGTTTTTCTGCAGGGACATTTTACTAGAAGACGGGTAACTTAATGGTTTGAAGACTGTACTGGAAAGTAGAGGGACATATTGTAATTGTGAGTGTTTAGAACCCAACATTGTGATAGAGGACCAGGCCCCCCTCTTATGCTCTGTCACCTGCATGCTTACAGCAACAGAGGTGAACTGTCATGTTACTGGCTGTCCCATGGGAATCCTTTGCAAATACCTGAATCATACCTATGGGTACAGAACTGATCTTGACAGTGGTTCCTCTCCAAAGAAATGGCAAGATGACTGCAACTCCAGCTCACTCCTTAACTACAGTCTTTTTAGATACTCTGAAATATTTCAGGGAGTAGAATATTGCTGAATGCCTGTGTGAAGATAAATATTTTATGTAATGTTAACATATAAATTTCACAGAGAAAAAAATACCTCAGGCCTTCTACATAGGAGGAAAATAAATGTAGATCACCAATGCATAAAATCCTGAACAACGCACAAACAACAGACAAGTAGTAGAGAAGGGTAACAGGAAGTTCCCCATACATATATAAATCAGAACTGCAGAATCAGAAACCCGGACCCTAACTCACAGCAGAGTCAGCTCCCAAGTAAGCCGCTTGACACAGACATCTCTTTTTCTCATTTTAGAAGTATGGACATCATGCTCCTGACCGTGGTGGCCTATGATCAGTTTGTGACCATCTGTCACCCATTAATTACTCACCCATCACAAGCCTTTGCCTTTGGAACATCTTAGTTTGAATTTTTAGTTTTGTTTATTTTTTGGACTCCTACCTATACTATTTTACTGTGTTACAGTTTACCTACTTTAGGGATGTGAAAATTGCTATAATTTCTTATGCATACACCCCACCTCCTTCATCTTCCTATTTGGACAACTTCCCTGGTACCATAGTGAAGTATTGCTGGTGCCATATTCTCCCCCACCAACCTTCTTGATTGATTTCTCATACTACAAAATTGCTTCATTGTCATATAGTGGAAAGACTCGTGTCTTCTCTACATATGGGTCTCGATTGTCAGTTGGTGTTTTATCAAGCAAGTGTTAGAGTGTGTGTTGACTCAGCTATATTAAATTTTACCAGAAACAACAGTGATGTACACTACAGTGAGGCCTGTGCTGAATCTGTTCATCTACAGCCTGAGGAACAAGGAAAATATAAGTAACCCGGGGAAACTCTACAGCAGAGCAGTCATAGCTCAAGACTTGTGACATCCATTTGAATATAGTTGGAAAAAAGCAAAGAAACTTAACATCTACAGTAGTAAGTTCTGCCTCTTGGTCCTGTTGCTACAGCAAGCAGAAACACCAAAACAACATCCAGGATTTGAAAGCAGTACACAGTCTTATTTTATACCAGTGGTCCTGGCTGGGATCATTCCCCACAACAAAGACAGGCAGCAAGTACTTATGACCTAGTACTTTTATATGATGTAAAAGCAGGAGGTACAAAAGCGAGACAGAACAGCCTGGCAGTTCTCTGATTAGGTAGGGTGAGACCATCAGTTACAAGGCTAGATTAATGCTCATGGAGTTTGTTACAATCAGGCATCCTGCATGTTCTGTTATGCTGTCGTGGTTACAGGGGTGAAGAAAGTAATTACAGAGCCATGAAGCATTACAGAGCTAGGCAGTTTCAAAAAGAACAAAGTTTTTCAAAAAGAACAATTTTTCATGTACAGTTTTGCCCTTTCAATATTAGTATTGCAATTTCATGGCTTTAATTTCTTATAATTTTTCACAGAGTAGTGCTAGTGGAAGGAATAGGGAATTTTAAAGTTGAGTGTAAACTTTCAGTTTGAAAAATGAAACTTTCTGTAGATAGATGATGTTGGGTCATTCACAACAGTGTGAAAGCAATTAAAGATGGAAGTGTGTATCAATATGGTTAAGAGGATAATTTGTGTGCTGTGTGTATTTCACTCCAAAAATGAAATAAAAGCAAACTGGCATTTAAAAGTTATATATAAATGACAGAAGTGATTAGGACAAACCAGCTTTACCTGAGTAGATGAAGAAACTAAAACCCCTTGTGGATATTTATATTGTTTCTGTCTCTTTGTTTCATTAGTGATAGGAAGTCCTCAGAGACAAGGATAGCACAAAACAATTTGGCTAATTATGAGGACTGTGCATTGAGCCTCCAACGTCATAGAGTCCTCAGCAATCAGCTTCTGCTCCAGCCCTTAGTGACTCTGGGCCAGTGAGCTCCATGCCTGTGTCCCAGGCTCTATTACTACTTGAATCAGGAAGCTCCTATGTGAATCTGTATTGATTTAAATCCCAAGGATACGGCCCAACGCTTCCTTGGGCAGCAGAGATGGGGGCCTTTGGATCTGCTCTCCCTGACTATGACCCGGTAGAGAAACAGCATCGCCTAGTAAGTGCAGCAGGACCTCAATGATGCGGGAAAGAGGCCTTCAAATTATTGTCGCCTCATCATGATGAGAAACATGACAGCTGGGGTAGCCAGGTGGAAAGATACAAATATGAGAAATGTTAGTTATAAGCAATAGAATGTATGTGTTGTAGTGGGGAAAGCAGGATTATTATTTCAAATTTCCTTTCTACACACCCGGTTTGCACTTCCATGCATGTCTCACCTGTCACAGCAGAAAATGTGTCCTTCTACAGTGTTTCCTTAGCACTGCAAAAGGATTATGGAGGTGAGGATAAAACTGCAGAGCAGAGAACAGAGAGCATAATATCACCAAGTGCTTTTCAGGGCTTCCCATATTCCAGACACTGAGCAATGTTTTCTATGTGTCTTGTTTGATTTCATGTGCTCAGTCTTACTGTAGTTATAAGTGCCCACATGGTTGTTGCTTGTAGAAGATGGAAGAGTCTGTCGCTTTTATGGAACCCGCCTTGGGTTGTTAGGTTAAAAAATTACTCAATTGATTTGGGTTGTTTGATTACAGAGATGGGGCATCATTGAGCAATGATTCCAGCAGGTTGTCCTCTTAACACAAAGAGACATTTCACTTTTCTGTCACTTCAAGAGAGACCCCTTGCTCACTGTGTCCTTCCTTTTGGAAGTTCCAGAAAGCTCATGTAGCCGAGCGGTGGGTGACATCAACTGCATCCACCCTAGACAGATTTAGAGGACAGGTGCAGATCTCAGAGAACACGCCCTTGATAAATCAATATAGATGTCTCCAGGATGTTCTTGCACTTCTACGTCCTTCTCCAGCCTTGCAATTGTTTCACACAGTCTCAAATGAGGAAATGTCAAGTCTTGATTTCATTTCCCTTTGAGGAATGAGAGAGTTAAAACGTATCTCTGAAGCACCTTTGGTTATGAACTCTGAACCTCTGCTTAAATCCTTCCATGGCTTGAGAGATAATGAAAAATGTTAGTGCATTGGACAGTATCTGTCAATTTATTTTTTAATCTTTTCACCTCCAGTTAGTTCTGTGATGCAGGGCAGGTTTTTAGTATCTCCGAGAGAGCACTGATGTTAGTTTTGATTTCCACTTGAAACAACTGCACTAAGTATTACACAGATAAAGTGTATTCTATGTAGGGCTAATGTGTATCAAATTAGAGCAAAAGAAAATTTATTCATTATTATCATTAGTAATAAGTATATTCTTCATGCCTATTAGATATCCTATGACCTGAAGTTACTCTTTTTCTACTCCAGTAGAAGATTTTATTTTAATGCAATTATATGCATAAGTCTGGAGAGGAGTGATGTACTTTCCTCTATATCTGATTTCCCAGAACTATATCTTGTTTGACCCAGAGGAGGCATCAAAATTAAAAACTTCTGTTAAACTTTAGAAGGACCCTTTTCTGAGCCACAATGCTTGTCCTTAATCAGCATGATGTGAAGTTGCTCAGCACATTCATATCTGCATATTGATTCCTTTCACAAATGGCCCATAGACGCAGAGACAGGGTAAAATTCTTCTATTTGTGTCTCTGTCCTGGGCACATGGGCCATGTAATCTATTTAACCACATCTATCTCAAAAACACAACAGAGATATTCATGGGTTTAAAAGGCAGAAAGAAGGGGCAATAGGTAAATGTATGCATCAGGCTCGGGTATGGTATAGAACTTCATATCTTGCCTTCAGTACTTTTTGAATACAGTTTACTATTTGTCGGTAAACTTCCTACTTGAATAGCTGTTTAACTTTTTATTTTAAAAGCAAAGTCTCACAATTACTAAATTCTTTTTTTAGTTGCCACGCATGTAGAGATGAATGTTATTGTTTTATTTTCCTCAGACGGTACGAGCACGGAGAGGAAGAGAGATTCACAGACTTTCTCCCTGTCCTAACAGGTTAATGACCCAGGACTAAATGTTGATTTCCCTAGAGCCGTCCTTTGGCACAGGCTCCCACTAGTGGATCAGAATGAAAATGTGATTCCTCACATAATGTTGAAAAATCTTTGTGTGTTATCATAAAGAGATCATTACTGGAAAGACTCCAGGGATACTTTGAAGATATTTCTCAAGAGTAAGATAATGAGTAACATTGGGTGAGTTGAAATTTTATATGCATTATCTGTTGGAAATCAGAAAAGCATTCCCACAATACATTATATCCCAATTTCCACACAAGTAACAGGGAGAGAGACACAAGAATTTTCAAAAGATTGTCATAATAAACTTACAAGGTAAATCCTCTCTCTCTCTCTCTCTCTCTCTCTCTCTCTCTCCCTCCCGTCTCTCTGATAATGTTGTGCATTAGTTAAAGGAGACTGAAAAGCACATGTTGAAGTAACCTAGTCTATTTTGAGGCCCTAGATGTTTCATTATACACTGCTTAGGCGAGTTTTAGGTCCCCTTTAGGTAAAGTTTTAAGAAAACCCCTTGTAGATTCATAAATCGATGCTGACCTGCAAACAATGACAGGAAAATCTACCCATAAAATTCATGACAACAGATTCCTTTGAGGACAGCAGAGCAAGAGAAATCAGTTAGGGAGATACCAAAAGTTCAACGTTCTTAGGTAACTATTCAGACTTCTAAATAATATTAATGCTGATATAAATATTGTTAAATAGTCATATGTTAGTATCTATAGAGAAAACATTAATGGGGTGTTTTCTACATGCCAGAAAATATTTTAAGACAGTGGTTCTCAACTCTTATTTAAGAAAGTGACTCAAAAACTTGAAATGTAAATATTCTGGTTAAACTTATTGGCCTAAACCTAAGGTATCTGGATATTTTAAAATATTCCCAGATAGGTAATGTGCCTGAGTAGCACAAGGCACTGGATTAAAATATCCCCATATAAGTATATTACTAAGTTCAAACCCAACCGTGATACAAATTAAAAGATTTTCAAAATATTTTCTTACGGCAACCATGTAAGCAGGTAATTCCTATCCCCATTTTACAGAAGGAGGGAAGACATTATTTACAGTTGTGTGTATAAGGTTTCATGTACATTTTTCTATTGTAGCTGTATTTTAAGCATATTTATGTTATTTCGTGTACTATTATATACAAGGGTTTTTTCCCAATTAAATTACAATGTGGCCTGACTGGAAAAAAATATATGCATCCCAATTTCCCTCGTATAGCTGAAATAAGAGAAATGCAACACTTGCATATGAGGAAAGACTGATGTGAAAACCTGTTGATTAGATCTAGGAAGGCTGGGACTCATCCAGGATGTTGGGACTTTGTTTCCAATGTCTTCAGCTGAATATAAGAGGTTTGCGATCAGAACAGCAGCAATGCATATTATCAAGCTATTGTATTATATAGAATCAAAAGAAAGATGTCTTATATAGCAGATATTTTAGTGATAATGTTTAATAAAATAAATCAGTACAAAATTTAAAGACCAAACGTGCTTCTTATCATCCTTTTTTTTTTTTTTCCAGTACAGGGAATCGAACTCACGAACTTGCGCTCTCCAGGCACACGCTGTGCCACTGAGCTAAATCCCCAGCCCCTTCATCCATTATTTTTAATTACTGACAAGTGCAATGTGCAATACTGCTTACATTTGTCATGGGGTCATTATGTAGTAAGGTCATGTGCATGCATGTGAACCTGCTATATAAAAATTTGAGTACCACAAAGACAATGATAAAAGTTTCATATCAAATAATTTATACACAAACAAAGACTGAGTAAGCTTTTACACTCTTGGAATATGGAAATCAGAAAACCTAACTGTAAGGTAACCTTACCATGTGAACAATTACCTTGAAGTTTCTGACAGTGCAGTTGAAGATTGTATATTTGTAGATGTTCTAAGTCAAAGGATTTTGTACCATTTTCTGAGAAGAAAATAAGGAATATTTGAATGATATTTGAACGCTTTTTAATTTCTTCCAGTAACACCATATATTCTATTTTTTGGAAAACAGTTTTCTGTATTTTCCTGGAACCAGAGACTTCTGAACACTAATTTCCTTAGTCTGCTTACACTGTGTGGTAGAGTATCTGTAAAGTGCAAGTGTACAAAATGAGATGGATAAGAACATAGTAATGCATCCTTGAGGGGTGAGCTTTTCACAATACAGCAACGTTGCTAAAGGTTTCAGGTCTCATGTGGCAATATATTGCTTGTAAATACTTGAATTCATATTACATACACAGTTTTGTTTGCTATTTTTGTTCTTTTTGAAAAGATGTTCAAGCACTATGGGAACACATAATCTAACAGTTGTCTCAGAGTTCCGTCTCATGGGCTTCTCAGAGGATCCAGACCAGCAGCTTGGTCTCTTTGGGCTATTCCTGTCCATGTACCTGGTCACAGTGCTGGAGAACCTGCTCATCATCCTGGCAGTCAGCTCTGACTCCCAACTCCACACCCCCACGTACTTCTTCCTCTCCAACTGTCCCTGGCTGACATCTGTTTAACTTCCTCCACGGTCCCAAAGATGATAGCGGACATTTTAAGTCACAGAAGAGTGATCCTGGCTGACATCTATTTAACTTCCTCCACGGTCCCAAAGATGATAGCGGACATTTTAAGTCACAGAAGAGTGATCTCCTATGTGGGCTGCCTCACACAGATGTCTTTTTTTATCCTTTTTGTGTCTATGGACAACATGCTTCTGACTGTGATGGCCTATGACCGGTTTGTGGCCATCTGCCACCCCCTGCACTATGCAGTCATTATGAACCCTCGCCTCTGTGTCTTACTACTTTTGCTCTCAGTCTGTGCTAGCCTCTTCGGCTCTCAAGTGCACAATTTAATTGCCCTACAACTTACATGTTTCAGAGGTGTGGAAATTGCTAATTTCTTCTGTGATCCTTCTCAGCTGCTTAACCTTTCATGTTCTGATACCTTAATCAGAACCATAGTTACCTACATTGTTACCACCATGTTTGGCTTTATTCCAGTATCAGGCATTGTTTTCTCTTACTATAAAACTGTTTCCTCCCTTCTGAAAATCCCAAAATCTGGGGGAAGGTACAAAGCCTTTTCTACCTGTAGTTCACACCTGTCACTTGTTTGCTTATTTTATGGAACAGGGCTTATAACGTACCTTGGTTCAGGTAGGTCCTACTCTCCCAGCAAGGACATGGTGGTCTCACTCATGTACTCTGTGGTTACCCCTATGCTGAATCCTTTCATCTACAGCCTGAGGAACAAGGACATTAGCAGGACCCTGAAGAGACTCCACAGCTGGAGATTCTAATCCAGGGACCCTCGGCATCCATCTGGAAAATAGTTTGGAAAATAAAGTAAAACTGAAATTTATCTGCAGATACTGCCTCCTTGTTTATGTTATTTCATAAACTTGATGTCTTTAATTTTACATCCTGTTTCAGTATAGAATTCCAAGAGGGGAAAGGAGTCCAGTGTAGTTTCTTTGTCTTGGCCATACATTCGTCCCTCGCTAGATCGTGGTTCACTTATTGTGGCTTCACTGTATCATGGGTTTTAAAACAAAAAATCTGTGTTACAGAGTTTTCGCTATATCGCAGGATTTTATGGTATATAGGTATTTATATAATAGCTATGATTTTAATTATTTTCACCTAAAAATTTTAAAACTATATAAAAATATAAAAAATGTTAATTCAAATATATTAAAAGAATGTTAAATTGAAATAAAACACTGTACAGTATGTATTTCATCAGCAGATGAATATCGTACTGAACACAGTGGAAATGCAGTAAGCCACTTCTGCCAGCCTACCTGGCCGTGCTGCTTATGGGCGAGCGGGGTGTGCAGTACCGCCTCCAGCCCCACGCCCGCGCTAGGAGCCAGCCTCGGCCAGTGAGTGGTGCAGGCCAGGCTCTGGGCTCAACTCGCTCTGCTGTGGCTGCGGCTGCGGCTCAGCTGGGTCCCACTTCTCCAGCTCCCCTGTCCGCTCCCGCCCTCCATCCCCACCTGACCCATCCTACCCTCCTGCCCTGGGAGCTGAGAAACCTATTCACCCAGGCATCCCCAGGCACTGCCCCGGCTGGAAGCCCAGGCTTTGGGAAGAAGGATCTCCTCAGGAAGGTGCGTGGGAATGTGGGAAGGGTTTATAAAGCCTTAAAATATATATAAATAATAAAATAAATAAATCTGCCTCTACTTCGCGGATTTTCACCTATCGCGGGGATGTCTGGAACGTAACTCCCACAATGGGTGAGGGATCACTATGTATAGATAGGCAGAGGGTGGGCACTCCTTTCAAAGGAAATGAATTCAAAAGGAAGCAGGCTGTCCTGCATTTCTAATGCTTTCTCCAGTCTGGTTGAAATCCATGTCCAAAGGTTAGGAAGGACTTGAATTAGCTCTTAATCTAAATGGACGGTTTTCTTTTATGGGATCCTATAATTAGGCTGCCCCCACTGTCTTACTCTTAATAACTAAAATAAAGGACTACAAAATGAACAAATTCTTAGTTTCTTTCAAACTAAGGAAACATTACCTGGGTATTTGAAAATATTCCCAGTTAAATATATTGCTAAATGAGACCAAGATCCTCTGTCTTTGCAATCTTCAAGTACCATTTTGCACAGCTCTATAAACTAAGTATTCATCATCTCCATTTACAGGTAATGAAAGAGCCCAGATGCATTTACATTATTTCCTGTAATTTTCAGTTTGCATTTTCCCTAACTAAATCATATTGAGAGCTGAGGGATAAGCTGGTATATCCTCCAGGTAGTTGAAGAGAATTGCTATTTTGTGGCGGAAAGGCTTGATGTGAAATTTGCTAACTAAGCAAAAGAAGGTTAGCACTGAAGCCTGGAGTTTTGAGCTTTTTCTGGTGGTGAAATTCTCAATCATATAAAGTATAAGAGAATTTATAATAAAAAATGATGAAACAGGGGCTGGGTATATAGCTCAGTGGCACAAAAACCTGCCTGGCAAGTGCAAGGTCGTGAGTTTGGTTCCCGGTACCAAAAAAAAATGAAACTGTGTTTCCACACTATTAGAGCATACAGAAGAAAAGACAGTAAAAGAAAAAATAAAAAGGTAAGAGTTTTCACAATAGATGTTTTACTGAGAATGAATGGTGAAAAAATAAATCTATGTAAAATAAAATATCCAAAATGTTTCTAATACTTTCTTGCTATAAATCATAGACAGGGCAATGTGCACTAATGCCACATCTGTAGTCAGTGATGTCATGTGACTGTGAGCATTTAACTAGTATGTGTCTAGCAACATTTGAAGTCCACCACAAACAAGGATGGCTGGTGTACATTGCATGAGTTTTAGAAGAGACACAGAATTTGAACAAGGAATTAAATTCACAAAGGACGGAAATCATAAACTCAGAGAATGATGAAACCCCTAGAGCATAAATGGAACATAACAACATTTTCTGATTATGACCATCAAGTTTAACAGAAATGTAGCACATCTGTAGCTTTGACACAGTGATTTAAGTATTGTAAGTCACAGGAATTTCCCCTATTGCCTGGAGTATAATAATGTATATTTGACTACCTCAATAATAATGAATTAGAATACCTTATCCTCTTACAAAGGAAGGTTATTGCCTGTTCTCTAACTCTTCTGAGAAAAGTAGAATGTATTTTGCATTGATTATAGAGTTGTTATTGCTAATGTTATTTGGACTTCTAACACAGTTCAGTTCAGTGGTTCTAAAGTAGGTGTGGACAATAAGAGGTGACTAACACAGAAGCGAACAATGCAAGAATTTTAGGATATCGACCTTACAGTATAGCTACTTGGGTAGTATGTGGAAATATCTATCTTTTTCAATGATCCTCCTCAACTTCCTAGTCTTTCTAGTTCAACTTCTTCAATAGCATTGTCACATATCCTGCTGGCCTGATATTTCATGTTTTCCTTTAGCAGGAAATATTTTTTTCTTAGTACTGAAATATTTACTCATTTTGGAGAGGTGAACCAACCATCAAATGGGAAGCATAAACATTTCTCTAGCTGTGGGTAACACCTGTCAGTGTTCTGTTTATTTTAAACAATGCTATAGTGTTCCTTTGTTCAGCTGTGCTTCAATCTTGCAAAAAGTGTCAGTGACTTCAGTCATGTACACTGTATCCAAACTATGCTTAATGTATTCATCTACAGCCTGAACACTTGGGACATTAAAGGTGCTCTAGAAAGACTTGATAGTATAACAACCTAGTCAGAATGTATGACATCCATTTGGAATGGAATTTGGGAAGTCCAGCATAATACTGTAAATAGTCTTGTAAACCCTGTCTCTTTCCTTGAATTTATAGTTTGATGACTACCATCTCACTTCACAGCAGGCAGTAGCTCTCACTTGTTTGGTGGATAGAGGAAAAGTTTTTAAATTTTAAAGAGAGAGAGAAAGATTATTTTATTAGGCAGAATTCAAAGTACAAACTCAAAGAAAATACTGCAGACCCTCCAGAGAACGCAAGCTATTGTCAGGAGCTTGGAACAGGTGTTCGCTTTGGGGGATGGAAATCTGTGTAATCTGTGAATCTATAAAAATTTGGACTTGTTCTACAGGAGAAAAGTGATGACTCACTCACATGTAGACAGACAATGGTTCATCATATACGAGACATTGGGTTATACCTGCTAAATTCATCACGTGGCGTCGTTCTGCTCTGGGTGACAGGTCCCGAGAACAAGGTGCCCGTGGATGAAAAGAAAAGTAAGAGAGACAAGAAAAACAAGAGAGGCAAAAGTCTGGGATCAGGGGGCTTACAGCCTCTCAGACTAAAGCCCCAATTACCAATCTCAGTCTTTTATTGAGCGAGAACCAAGGGTGTAGCTAGTACAAATGGGCAGATACCAAACATTTTAGTAGTTAAAGGATTATCCTCCTCAAATTCTGCCTCTTATGCTGCTGGCAACAATCACCAGGTGGGCGTCCTATACCCAGCACCACGCTTACTCAGTTCAGCTGGGGGTTATAAGTTGACCACCAGTTATCAATCCACTACAATCACAGTCCTTACATCCCATTAATTTTTACAATGCATAATGAGACTAAAAAATAGGGATCTCCTGCAATTCAAATACACTCTTATCTTCAGGTGAAAGGTGTCAGTTCATTTTTGCAATAATAAACAAATCATTGTGTGTCCTCAGTGCCTTCTAATCAAAGAATGACCTTCTCCACAACGTGGTAACAGTACAATCAAAGAACAGCTGCCTCTTTCATTCATCTTGCCTACCAACAGTAGTTATAAATAATGTGAAGTTACTATCTGTTTGACTCAGGGACCATTCCTTTGGTACTGACTGTGGTGATGGTTATGACCCCTTACAATTGCAGTGTTGTTATACAGGGGAGAAAAACTGATTATAAGAAGTACAACATCTCGGTTGGAGTGGTACAGTTAGCAATAACAATACACTCAAGCACAGCCTGGCTAGTTACAAACTGTGATCTCTGTTAGCCTGAAATCTTTAGCCATAACAGCAAGTTCTACAGTTATATAATATAATCCAACTTATACCAGGAACTTGTATGCAGTGATTTTCCACTTAATAGAGTGATTTTACCCTCTTGTATAGGGGACTGAGAGAGATAGGAGGTAAGTTGAAAGAGATGAATGAGAGTAAATATAGTTGGGGTAGGATTGGGGGCCACGGGACGATCATCCAAGTTTTGGGTAATTATAGGACACAAGAGAGAAGGATTGGAAGAGAAAGCCTAGCAGAATTGAAGTGAACCAGAAAGAGAAGAGAAACTTTACTCACATGAAAGTATCATAAAGTCAAGCAAAATAATGGACAATAGAGAGGAAGAGGAGGAGCAGAATAAGACAAAAAGAAAGGTTAGAGAAAAATCAAATCATGAAAGAAAGAGAAAAGAAAGAAAAAAAGGAACACAGAAAACATGGGCTGGGGATATAGCTCAGCAGCACAGTGCCTGCCTGAAGAAACAAAAATAACCACACACACTGAAAAGCAACAAACATGCAGAAATAAAAAACAAAACAGGGTAAAACAGGACAGAACAAAAAAAAGAAAGAAGAAGAAAGAAAGAAAGAAAGAAAGAAAGAAAGAAAGAAAGAAAGAAAGAAAGAAAGAAAGAAAAGAAGTGAGGGGTGGCCCAGGCTGCTTCTATTCCACGTGTCTTTATCGCCAAGCACAGTGCTGGTTCAACTGACTTCTCCTCTGCTGACTCATATCAGTACTGTTGCTTCTGACAGTTTCGTGTCTCTAGTCCCGCCTGTCCATTCTTTGCACCCTGCCCATCTCTGGGCCTTCCCATGGGG